TGGAGGTCTGTGTCTATGTGCACACCCAGAAACTTGAAACTGGAGACCCTTTCCACGCACTCGCCGTTGATGCTGACAGGCTGCAGCTCGGACTTCCAAATAAAGATTTGTAGATGTATTTTATAATCGATGTTTGAGTTTCTGCTTACTGTTGTGGACCTTCTGCTTTCCTTTTTTCATGCAGTCTTTATTTAAACCTTACCTGAAAACCAACATGCTTTTATTTTGGTTTGCAGTTTTGTTTTCTGCTGTCTAACACCCAGCTGACGTCATCGTCGTTTTCGCTTTCGGGTGTGCAGGAAACTCTCTGTGACGTCACACCAGGTGAGCTCACTGATGAGGCAAGAAAGAAACTCGGAAATAAAACTTTATTAACACAGCAGAGTGGCGACAGACACGCGCGCTCATCCTGATACTCCTTACTTCCGGTCTCAGCAGACAAAAAAAGCTTCATTGAACAATCTCTCCACGATGATCACTATGACAACACAGCAGACGTAAATAGAAAAGCAGAGACGCGATTGTTAAATAACAGCCGTGAGACTCGTGACGAACAACATGAAAATGACACCAAACTGATTTCCTCTCAGAGTCAGGCCCGGCAGCGGGTGGACTTCAGTGATTGGTTCTGTAGGAGAACGCTCTGATTCGTCGAACATTGTCGCTCTGTGTCCTGATTGGTTGCCGTGGCAGGCTCCGCCTCTCAGCGGAAGCGCGCTCCTCTCGCGACCCCGCTGAGCGCGTTATCAGTCCAGGGGAGCGGCACACGTGCGGCCGGGATGGAGGCGGAGGTCGTGGACTTCCGGGTTCCCGTGGAGAGCAATAAGACGGTGCTGGTGTGGGACATCCCGCCGACCCACGGCGAGGCGCACATCCACGTGAGTGCACACACGGTGACGTCAGTTTGTGTAAAATAGTGACGGTCTGTTCTGAGCTGCTGGTGTAAAGTGAGTGGATGTGACGTAAGAGCTGCAGGTGAGTGAGGCAGGAGTCGTTAGTGGAAAGCGTCACTGCCCACCGACCAATCAGATCTCCATTCCTGAACATCCCTCAGAGCGCTGTGTGTGAACAGTGTGTCACATCTCTGTTTCCCTGCTGAGCATCAGTAATCACAGTCAGGTGGATTATTATCGTTGTGTTGTAAGCATGTATATCTGATCAGATTGATGTGGTGGTCAGAGTGAGGAGAGTCTCCTGGGCGCAGACAGTGGCGGTCCTAGCCTGTTAGGCGCCCTGGGCGAACACCCCCTCTGGCGCACTTTAGTAAACAAACAAACAATTCCACCTCTCGCATTACTGCGTAAAGTTGACAGCGTGTCAGGCAAATAGGCAGGCTCCATCCCCGGCCTCTAGCGACTGTGGAAGTCGCTACACTCCTCTTCTTTTCTCTTTTTTTAAACTTTAAAAACGGGTTGTGTGTGAGACTTTAAATAAACAAAATATAAAATATACATTTTAAATTGTTATTGA